CGACAACGTTTCTTCAATTAGGTGTATACCTATCAACCATCAACCACCAATAGTTTTATAACATGTGAAATTACAAGAACATTATATTTCATACTTWTTTTAATAAGTATAAAATAACTTAAAAGTTGTCAGACAAAACTAAAATCACTCATTAAGTTGGACATTCTCTTTGTATTTTAATCAATCGTTAGTGTTTTGATGTTTATTTATTTATTTATTTTTTTTTTTTTTTTACTTTACACCAATTTTTGCGGCGACTTTATTACAAATCTCTCGTGTAAACAGCATGCAAATTAACGGCGATTTCCAAGATGCAAAACTGCGACTTTCACTTGGATATCATCATGGAGAGTGTTTACACRATCGAATTGCACGATTGCAAAAATTGCCAACAAAATTGCGTAAACAGGTATTCACTGACGATCATATATACTAAAATAAATCATATTATTATATTTCAGTGTTATTACACCAGATTTATGCGATGAGATGATGTTTATGCCAGAGATGTCATCAGAATCTCAGATTCTTTCACCTGCTTTTATTAAAAAGGTACTTCAATTTATTCCCTTGGAGCTGTTAAGTTTTGATTGTATATTCTATTTGGAAGAGGAGCCAACCAATCTCTCTGCCTTSCTTTATTATGCACTAGTCAATTGAAACCCCCGACCCCCGTGGCACTGAACGAGGACGTGACGCGTTTTTAACGTCCAGTTAGCCTCATGTAGTACGCAAATGAGTACAAAGGATTATACAAAAATTAACCCTGTGTAGATCACAGAAAATTTGATTGAAAGGTGTTTGTTTTGTTATTTACTACTACCAAAATAGCGGGGCAATAGTAGCGGGGATTTTAACAATGTGCCCTCGACTACCGGGGGAAATGTCTTATTTTAACACCACTCATACGTTAAATTCCCCGGTATTCCACGGGGGTCGGGGGTTTCAATTGACTAGTGCATTAACCCCATGTGTGCAGTCGATATTTAAGAAGACTAACGTTGTCTTTTTATCAGTTAAACAAGAATCTGCCATCTCGTGCTGTCGGCCATGGATGGACTCTAGTCTACAGTACATTCACACATGGTTTTAGTTTAAAAACATTGTACAGAAACATGGAGGAGTTTGACACACCAATGTTGATAGTTGTACAGGATGACCGACACCAGGTTTGTGTAGTACAGTCTTTACAGTATAGCCTCGGTTGGACCGTCACATATTATGTCACGCAAACTTGAGTATAATGGTATAATGATATTCTTAGGCTTCGGTCAAACGCTGTACTAAACATGAGCCTCAGGGCCGKGTTGTTCAAGKYCTGGGTKAACTCTTAGAAAACCTATKGAGTTAACCCTGRATTAACGCTAATCGGGCTTTGAACAACCCCGCCCAGTAGTTTTGGAGAAGAATAAGTTCGCCATCTTGGAATGTGAAACCCGAATCACTAAAYTATAACTTTTAAAGAAACGGAAATGTTCTAATCGAATGCCAAGTTAATGTAATACAATATACTGAAAAATTAGTTGRCTTACGAAATCTAAWGCAGAACATAGTGATTGGGGTCTCACTATTCAAGATGGCGGACGCATTGTCACTCCTGATGCATTTGGTTCATGTACGGTGTTTGACCAGTTCGACGTTCAAATTCTCATCATTGGTCTCTGCATCGTTAGGTTTTTGGTGTTGTGACGTCATGTCCTTTAAAGATCAGTGAAGGTTTCTATGGTACTGGTCAGTCTTTCTTGTTCAAGTTTGATGAYGATGATGATGATACAATTAAGGTATTATGAACGTATAGCTTGCGAGAATCGCCTGGTCCTTGCCAGTCCCCCTAGGACCGCTTTGCATCTAGTTGAAGTATGCATTCTCTTGAACTTTTCATGTTTTTGTCATAAAAAAATAGTATTAGTATGAGACCAAAGCTTGGTTGCGGGATCAAAGGCTAGCCTGCGTAGACCGGCGTTCTCAGCGCTAAAAACTCCCTCGCAGCGGCAAGGGACGCCTAGGGTTAGCTACGCACTCCATCAAAGGCAGGCACAAATGTTTGGTATCCAGGGCCAGAAATATTTTACGAGGAATTGTATATCAGGATCAAGTTTGAAATTTTCAAAAAGATTCACAGGCAGCCCAACCTTTAATTTTGAAAATGCCATAATTTGTAGAATACCTTTGGATTATTTCAGGATGAAAATATAAACCTTGATGAATTTAAGATTTTTTTGCATGGAGTACTTAACAGTACGTTTGTTATTCTAGATCTATCCATGGCAAGGAGATAACGATTTCTTCATCAAAGGCTCTGTTGATTGCATTGCATTTGGTGGTGGAGGGTAAGCCTAAAACTACTGATGAAGATTCCGTTCCGTTCAACGGATCTTCTTCCCATGTGACCACATGGGACATGATTCAAAATAACTTTGCTTTTATACAAACTGCTGAGGATTTCTGTCGATATTGTTACTACTTTTCCAGAAATTGCAAAAGAGATTGCAGAACACAATTAATGTTGACATTTGATTTCCTTGTTGCACAAAGCAAATTTGTTTTTAGCGATTATTAAACAGTCGAAAAATTTTGCTAAAATGTTTGATCCCTTTTGCCAATAAGACTTTGTTCATTTCTTTATTGCTGTAGGGGGCACTTTGGCTTGTGGTTAGATGAAGACTTCTATCACGGTAGCAGCCATTATTCAGAAACCTACCACAATGACGCATTGTCTGACCAGGAAGACTTCCTGTGTAGTGCTCTGGAAGCCTGGACCTTTATGTGATCAGGGCTTCATGTGGTTTGTAATTTGATTGACAGCTGCCCTACTACAATGGCGTACTGTCTGGTCAATGAATAGGACGCCCAGTCTAGTGYTSTGGAAACCTGTACGTATATGTGATCATGAATTGGGCTTCCTGTGTTCTCAATATGATCCATTCGATGTATATTTCACCTCAGGCCTCTGAAGAATGGCATTATTAATCACGTGATCTTACCGCATTGATTGAAAGTTGTCAATCATGGCAGACATTGAGAGCTACTGGTTAGACTATCCACCAGATAAATCCCTATTTAGCTGATAAAATCCCTTAAAAATGGATAATTTTATGGTGAATAACTTTACCCATCTTTCGTACAACTGGTCCCTGAATTGTTAAAAATGGTGAATGTTGATGAMGTGAAACGAAAATAGTCATTATGAACAAGAGTGGTTTCCTAAACCCCTGGAACAAGTTGATGATTTTGTTTGAATTGGTGCAGTCAGATTCAGTAGCAAAACAATTTAAGTGTAATAGMGATGAATACATTAAACGTATTTCACGGGCTTAAAGGCCCGCGTGCTTCCAAGAACCACTGCACGATTTTCTCAAAAAATCGGCATCTTTGATTTTGAACCAATGAAAAAGCACCTTTCAACAAGAGGCTGTATGTAAATTAAGTGATCACAAGGCTCTTGGAGGGCCTTTAAAAAGACWAATGACCATACCGAGGTATATTAGTAGTATCTGTTTCACGGGTTTCTGAACTTGACTTGAACGTRGGACTTAAATTGTTCCAAGGATTTTTGTAAGCCATTCTTAAGCCTTGTTCAAGCGGAAGTATGAGTCCACACACATTTGACTTGCGATCAAACGAACCACAATACTCGGGTTTTGTGACCACGGACAGAGCATTGATCCGAGGCGTCAAGTGGTACGGCCCCCGAGGGGTTTGGGGGGGACTCCGGGGTAAAAGTACCGGGGATGCTCGCCTTATATCTCAGGCGTAAAAATTAGTAATTGGAAATCTTTTAGGGTGACAATTTGGAGTTTCTGGAAATTTTCATTTTTTGCAATCTCTCAGGGTGTCGGAAAAGARCACATCGGTCGATATTGATTGTCCTCTGCGTTTTTATCATTGTTGTGAAATCTCTTAGGGTTTAAAAATCAGTCAGCCATACCCTTTTTTCAAGACTTCCGAAATCTTTAAGGGGTCTTTTTCCGACGAGCATCCCCGGTACTTTTATACCCCTCACCCCCCCTGGCTTCGTTCAATGCTTTGCTCGTGGCCTGTGAACCTACAATCATTGCCAAAATATGTTGGCACGGTTCAAAACACTTTATAATTTAGAGGGCTCGCGTTGGAACTCGAGTTTTTTTCCCCCCCTCCCTACCCCCGGGACAATGTTGGGGTCCGTAAAGAACAACTAGATCACCATCTTTCTGACGACATCAAAGGTAATGATCAGACTTCACAGCAACACTGTAGGGAGGGGGTGGGGAGGCGGTGCCCTTGTATGAATACTAATGAAAAGTCATGAAAAGAGGCGTGCGTGCCAACAATTTTGTCAATGATTGTAGGTATGGAGATTCGTGAATTGGAACTGGAGATAATTCATTGTAGTTATAAATACTTATATTATGATGGAGCTGCTTTCTGTCTTTGTGAAATAAATGGCATGCATTGTTCCAGTTTAGCCATTTTCCTGTTTTCACAAGACAGGAAACGACTTGAAAATGTAATTATGAACTAATAGACTTAAGTTTTTGTAAATATAACAGTAAATTACGAAACAAGGATACATTAGTAGATCTATGTAAAAAAGTTAATTTTGAAAATAAAAACCTCCCGGGKAATCATACTTATCATGACCTTGTACAATATTCTTGTAAAAATTACTAAAATGGGAAACAGACCTACTTGCGAAAAAATAGTACATTTGTATTTTAGTAAAAAGGAAAAGATTAAAAAGACAAAACAAGATCACTGAGGCTGAACGCTTTCTTTTTTCTTGTTTTAATTTATTCCTTTTTACTAAATTCAAATGTTCTTTTTTTCTATGACAACGTTTCTGCAAGTAGGTGTATGTGAAATCTAACTAGAGCGGATTTCGTATGAGTGGGACACCGWTACCGCACGGTTACCGCACAGTTACCGGACCTGGCCTGCACAATTTTGGTGAACCAATGGGGCACTAGAATTTGGTTACAGTACGATTACGGTCACAGTACAGTACCGTCCGTTTCCCACGCATACGAAATCCGCTCTATATTTACAAATCGTTTACATTACCCTGTCCGCAACGTGTTTATGCATATTACGTAACGCTTTCTGTGTCGCGTACTAATAAAAAAGACTCCCGGGAAAACTGCAAACAAAAGCGTTAAGCGTTAGTTCAGACGATATATTTTTCATCTCTGAATAAAAACTATTGTGAAAGCCCAATTTCATTAGAAGGCTGAAAGGCACCGAGTTGTTTTTCAGTGTCGGTAGCGCTAGGTCGTTTTATTCCAGGAGGTGTTATTCCTGTTTTCATACATACTTGTACTGGTACGTAWGATTAGCATCCAAAACAACTTTTTCTGTCCTTTATTAATTCCGAATTTTTTGATAATGAATCTGCAAGTTCTTCAAGGACTGTTTCTCCTCAGCTTTATTACAACCAGTAAGTACATACGCTTAGTATCTATAATAAACTAGCGGCAAACTAGAAGGCTACTACTAAAGAATTATGAAACTAGACGATCATGGATCGCTTACGTGGGCTTCCAGTAGCTGCGACAATGGGTCAGCTGCCACCATTGAACTATAAGTATTTCATTTTCACGATACAGTCTTTGTTTGAAATAAGTCAAGACAGAATTGAGTTAATGTAAGTTATTTACTACATCTTAATTTTTTACCGAACTGAACTATCTAAGTAACTTCTTTAAACATCCGGTCCTGTCTCTCTYACAGTTTTCCAAAATAGCTAGCCCGAATTAACGATCTAAGAGCGTCTAGGTTATTCAAAATATGCAAATTACTAGTGAGATTGAAATCGAAATAAGAAATAAGATTTACATTTTAACGTCGCCAAAGTTGTAGGTGAAATAACTTATTCACGTTTCRGATGTTAATCCTTCGTACGTCGACAGTAAAGCGGTAAAGCAAAAGAAAAAGTCACTGTGAAATAAGAGAAACTTTAATAATCCCGTAAAAAAGTAGATGAGTTCATATCTCAGGAAATTTTCACCTACTTTCGGTGTTTGTAGGTTTTAATCAATCCATTGTCGTAGAGAGGGAGCTAGGAGGGAGGTAGGCTCGCTACACCATGAATCATGCAATAGGCAGTGCAACTCGTCACTCGGCACAGCGCGTTATTCGGTTCAATGGTTTCGTACACTTAAGGCAAGGTCTTAATTTCAGCAATTTGGTATTACGCGCAAGTGGTGTATTTCGAGTCGAAACTGCATTTGTATTAAAGCACTAGGGGTATCGAGGGTAGCTAAATATCATCAAAAAGAAGAATAAGATTCCTATATCATTATATGAGTTGCTCATGTGTTCGCGGAACGTAAAGGCCGATTTAGACGGCACAACTTTTGCCTACCGACCATCGCATGCAAACCCGCGTAAGTCTTCCTTACAACTTAGCTACAACTGTCTTGTAAGGATTTAAAAACAATTGCTTAATAGCCATACGACAGTTGTAGCCAAGTTGTAAAGGCTGATTTACACGGCACGATTGTCTCGTGCGATTTGTAGTATACGACTTGAATCGCGCAGTGTAAAAATGCCCCTACGACTTGTCTACAACAGTCGTACGCAACCTACGACTTGTAGTAGGATTTTGAACCACTGCTTAAAATCCTACGACTTGTAGTAGGAAAATCGTATACTACAAGTCGCGCGCGACAAGTCGTACCGTGTAAATCAGCCTTAAGGACGACTTACGCGGGTTGCATCCGATGGTTGTAGGCAACAGTTGTACCTTCTAAATCGGACTTAAGATTATAATACTACACATTCAATACTCCAGTTTCGAATTCATAGCGAATAACCGCTGCTTTATTTGACAACAGATTCTCTTGCGCAAAGACTTTACAAACACAAAAGAGTGCACGAAAAAATGTCGTTATTACAATAGACTTGAAAATGTGCATTTTCCCCGAGTTGAGACTAACCCTGTATTCCCATAAGACCTAAGGTATGAGCAGGGTTAGCCTCAACTCGGGGAAAATGTAGATTCTTAGCGCTATTGTATTAACAACATTTTCTCGTGCTTTCTTTTGTCTTTGGTAAGTTCTTTGCGTAATAGCATGTAATAGAATCTGCTGTCAAGTAAAACAGCGGTTATTCGCTTTGAATTCGAGTATTACAGGTTATTCTTGGACAAGAACAGTAACCGTTAAGGATCGTTTTGCGCATTTCGTGCGAATCATACTATTAAACACTTTTTCGCTATATGTGAGTAGAAAAAATTATCGGTTACGTTGGTCTTTTTTGTTGCTTTTACTATTTTAAAGACACTAGGGACTGCACAATAATTATAACAGGAGGGATGGAATCTTGAAAGATTCTCTCTTGGTGATTTCGAAAGATTTGGTAACAATAGAAGACCTTGATGCTCACAAAATCACAAAGTTATAAAATCATCTGGTTAGGGTTTGATGAGTTTTGCGATCGGGCTCAAATTAAAATGGATGTTATCTTGGACGTCCCCCCCCCCCCCCCCCCCCCCCCCCCAATCAAAGCGTTATTGCAGCGGGACGAATCTGTCACTCACTAAGTCACTCACTCACTTTCCTGTAAACTTTAGCCTGCGTTACTTGTGTTCAGAATTATGAATTTATTCCCATTGTTTTATTGTTTTATTTTTTTCCCATTTTTGGCAAATAAAGAAGTTAGAGAAGTATGGACTCATCTAGGTCTCGAACCTAGGCCCATTGGGTCGGAAATAAAATGCAAAGGCCACGCGTGCTAATCTTGAACAAGAGTGGCTAGGCTTTTCTTTTAACTCTCAACTGCTCGCTGCTGCTTGTATAAAATCGATGTTAAAATAATTAGATTTTATTCTATTTGTTAAGTAATTATAATTTGATTCATGGTACCATTCGTAGTCAATCTTCGAGTTGTGCTGGCACTGTTTTAGTCATTTGTTTCTCTGTAATTTATATTATGAGTGTTGACGTTTTGTTTGGGAACTCCTACCTCACGGACGCTCATGTTGTAAGCTATACCTATTATGTTTGCCACTTTATTCCAGTAAATGGCTGTCAACCCCCATGCTTCTTCGTGTTGCAACAAAATATCATATCTACTCTACCGGCAACAGCCGACATATCAAATGGAAAGCTTAATGTTGTGAAATCGGGAGTTCAAGCACCGTTGATAGTGTTTCACCCTGGTCGTCGTCTAATGATCTGGAATGATATGCAAAGAGTCATCAAAAGTGCAGATCTTAATGTCACCAATGTTCAAACCATCGTGAGCTTGCCGGGGGTCATTTTCGGCTTGGCTTGGCTGTCTAGTAGGCCTATGCCCAGAATTGAAGTTTCAAATCTTGACGGCTCCAATAGGACAACTGTGGTTCAGGGCGGTGGTATGAAATATCTAGCTGATCTTAAGTTGGATGTGCAAGCTGGGTAAGAAAAAATTGCTGGACATAATAAACACAATATAAAACAATGCATGGATTCATGTTTCATCGAAGGACAGCAAGAATGGTTTGTGTTGTATAACGAAGATAATGTCAATAAGCTTGTCTAACAATACCAAATGCTCCCGGGGGGGCACTCCCAT